AAAATAAAAACACCATTTATTTAAAAATAAGAACGATAAAAATATCGCTTATTTTTAAAATGAAGGAAATAAGTAATCTAGAAGATAGTGAGTTACACTATATTACTCCAACAAAATAGGAAAAGGTGGAGGAAAATCAGTACCAAATTTTGGGGAAAGTTTTAATGGGTTTACTTAGACTTCCTCTTTTCCCTACTTAATAAATTCCATTCAAACACGCTCTGTTACATTTTATTTAATTTAAATTCGAAGCGTTAATCAATTTCATAATATAATGAATATTGTTTTTCCCCTTTAAATTCTTAAAATAATCTGCATAAGATATTTTTATAAAGTAAACATAACTCGTATGTTACTTGCATATTTATGGAGTATTAGTTATAAGAAATAGTATTACTTATAACTAATAATTTAATTTGTAGGACTGTTGAAAATATAACCATCAAAGGACCACACAATAAATAATAATAATAAAAAGAAATGAAGTTAAAAGGAAAAGAAAAAGAAAAAGAGAAAAAGAAAAAAGAAAAGAGAAAAGAGAAAAGGTTGAGTGTGTGATTTGCACATTGTACAAGTCATTCAAGAATTTTTAGGACCAAGTCAAACATTCAAGTTTATATTACTTCATTCGTTTCAATTTGTTTGTCTTGTTTTGATATAATAAAATTTTAAAAAGTAAAACTTTTGAATCTTGTTGCCCTTTTAATTTTCCGGTCATACACATAAAACATGTCACGTGGATAGCTGACATTCTTTTTTAAGCAGATAGGAAAGAAAAATAAGAGAAATAAATTGAAACGGAGTAAGTAATATCATTATTGTGACGTGTGACTTCACATCCATACAAAACACATCCTTCATACCTCCCTCTCACATGAAAATCATACTATAAGAAATTTTCACTATAATTATTGAAAAAAATGACCACATGTAATACAAAAAACAAAACACCACTTTCAAATTCAATATTTTAAGGCACATTAGCCCTTGTAATACACGTCAAATAAACTAAAATGATGAGCAAAACAGACAAACTAATACTGTTAAGAGTTGAAACCAAGTCTTTGGTCTTCATTTTCATTTTCTTCTTTCATACTTCAAAAACTTCAGATGAGTGTGAAAGCAAAAACATTAATCATACAAGTGTCTACTGAGCAACAATCAATTACAACCACACATGACAGTATGGATTCTCCTCAAGAACATCTCTCAGAGTTCATGGAGAAACTGAGCTCAATTCTCACTGAATTGAAAGATGATAAAAGGGTAGTTATGATCAGTAATCCTCAAATTCAGAAAGCAATTGAATCACTTGAAGTCGATTTTCGACGTGCCAAGTCCTTGGTGAAAAGCAGCAGAATCTCCCCTACACATGATGAGAACATTGAACAAGTGATTCAGACTCTTGCAAGGGGTTTAGGCCTTGTGCTCTTTGCTAGTCATGATGTTGTCGAAAGTACTAAGAAGGCAGAGATTGAGGTGCTGAGAAGAGAGTTGATGAAGATGAGTAGTGTTAATAGGACTAATTTGATTATGAGTTCGGATGAATCCGAGTTCTCATCGTATGATCGAGGGGTAGTGGAAGAAGACGATAGAACAACTATAGATGTCGATGGGATAGTGGAAGAAGACGATAGAATAGCTCTAGATGTTGATGAGATAGTGGAAGAAAACGATAAAATAACTCTAGATGTTGATGATGTTGTTGTTCAAATCAAGTATGGTGATGATGAACTTCTTAAATATGCACTTAATGGATTAAAGTCATTGGTTTTGGATGGTATGATTACTAAAGAAGGGATTCATCATGAAGATATGATCCCGGTTCTGTTTAATCGATTGAGTTCAAGTAAAACAGATCATAGATTGATTATACTCAGAATACTACAAGCCCTGGCCGCTCAAGATGATGAACATAAGGTACATTTAGTATTAATTGAGTCTAAATATTGAGAATCAAGAAGCTGAATGTTTTGAGTGGTTAATTTTCACTTTGGTGTGCAGGAAAAGATGGCAGAAATGGGGAATTTATCGATACTGGTGAAGTCGTTGGGTCATGATTTGGAAGAGCAGAAAGAAGCAGTGGGGCTGTTACTGAGTCTATCAGATGTTGCTGCAGTTAGGAGAAGAGTCGGGAGAATTCAAGGCTGCATCGTTATGTTGGCTGCAATTTTTAATGGGGACGATCAAATGTCTTCACATGATGCTGCCAACTTGTTAAATTCTTTATCAGGCAATACCCAATATGCTCTTCATATGGCTGAGGCTGGCTATTTCAAGCCTCTTGTACACTACTTGAACCAAGGTATATTTAGGACACTTCCATCAATATGCTATTTGATTAATTGTTTACGTAATATATATTCTATGTAAGCGATTGCAGGATCAGATATGAGTAAGATTCTAATGGCAACAGCACTTTCAAGAATGGAACTCACAGATCAAAATAGAGCTAACCTGGGACAAGATGGAGCCGTTGAACCGCTAGTCAAAATGTTCACCTCCGGGAACCTAGAAGCTAAGCAATCGTCTCTAAACGCGTTGCACAACTTGTCTGCCTTGAAAGCAAACGTTCAACGTCTTATAAAATTGGGCATCGTTGCTACTCTGCTACAGCTTCTTTTCTCCGTGACATCGGTGCTCATGACTCTAAGAGAGCCAGCATCTGCAATTCTTGCAAAAATAGCAGCTCAATCGGAAGTTGGCATAGTACTAGTGAAACAAGATGTTGCTCAGCAGATGATTTCGCTCCTTCATCTGACTAGTCCAGTAATCCAGTGTCACTTGTTAGAAGCACTTAATGCCATCGCTGCTTGTCCGAATGCTTCAAAGGTCAGAAGAAAAATGAAGGAAACTGGCGCTGTTCGCCTTCTCTTACCATTCCTAACAGAAAGCCGCAATACCAAGATTAGAAATGGAGCTTTAAATTTGATTTACGTATTGTCTAATGATATGCAAGGCGGGGAGCTAATGGAGCAGCTAGAACAAATGCATCTGAATACATTGATCAACATCGTATCATCATCATCCACGACAGATGATGAAAAGGCTGCTGCTGTTGGCATACTAAGCAACTTTCCAGTGAGTGACAAGAATGTCACAGACATGTTTATAAAAGCAAACCTACTGCCCATTTTGGTTTCCATATTGACATCAAGTACACCTACAACACCACATTTACTAGCTGAGAACGTCTCTGCAGTACTAATCCGATTCACCCTTCCATCAGACAAGAAACTACAACACTTCTCTGTCGAAAATGGTGTGATCAGCGTTTTGGTAAAGCTCCTCACATGTGGCTCAATCATAGCCAAATGTAGAGCTGCAACATCACTTACTCAACTATCTCAAAACTCACTCACTCTACGAAAATCAAGAAAGTCAAGATGGTTTTCATGTGCCCCTCCACATTCTACAGACACATTTTGTCAAGTACATGACGGGCACTGCTCTATAAAAACCACATTCTGTTTGGTAAAAGCAGGGGCAATGCCTCCGCTAGTCCAAATATTGCAAGGCAACGAAAGAGCAGCGGACGAAGCTGCTCTAAGTTGCCTTGCAACATTACAACAAGACGAGATTTGGGAAAATGGGAGCAACTTGTTAGTGAAAATGTCATGTGTACAACCAATTATCAAGATTCTTGAAGAAGGGATTAGCTTAAAAGCTCAAGAGAAGTCCCTGTGGATTTTGGAAAAGATATTCAAAGTGGAGGCTTATAGAGTAGAGTATGGTGAATATGCACAAGTTGTGCTAATTGATTTAGCACAAAATGGGGATTCATTGTTGAAACCTACAGTGGCTAAATTATTAGCACAACTTGAGCTCTTGCAGCAACAATCAAGTTACTTTTGAGACAAAGCAAAAACAAAAAAACTTCTTTTTTTCCCCAATTATTTGTTGATTGATTGAAATGTTGAAATTTGTATAGTAAGTGCTCATACAGATAAACTTTTTTATGGTGCAAATGTTCTCTCATTGTACAAATTACAGGAAAAAAAGGTTATTAGAGATGACTGAAACTTGTTGTCTTCAGAAAGTACATTATTTTAGCTTTGGCTGCCATTTTGGTGCCATTTTTTCTGCAATTTTGCTGTAGTTTTGATCCAATGGCATGAACAAGAACAACTTGCAAATTTTATACACCAAATAAATGAAGGAAACCTGTGCAAAATATCAACTTTACAAGTATGACAGCTTCATAAATGGAGGAAACCTCGGCAAAATATCAAGAATAATTATAGATATCAAAACCAGTGATGCAACTTCACTGATATAAATGTAGAGCAGAAGTTCCCTTAACCGGGAAATAACATCATCCTAATAGACACTGGTATGTCACTCTGGGTGTAGTTCCCAAATGTGCAAATTCTAATTTTAAAAGAAGTAAATTTGTCTAGTCTGATTTAGCTTCGGAAGTTGGTCAACTTAGAGCTCAATTAAAGAAAAGTTCAAAAAATTATGGATGGAGGGAGTGCTTTGGGATTAAGTTAGTTGTTCCACTCAGGAATTTTTTATTTGGCCTGTGACTTGTATGTTGGTGGGCGTTTAAGTGTGAAATTAGTGGACCTTTAGTTGTAGAGAATCCCATAATGAACATAAAGGTTTCATTTATTCGGCTCCGACTAGATAGGGAGTGAGGCATAGGGGATTGGTTAATTTAATGAGATTGTATCTGTTTTAAAGGCCAGAGGTAAAGCAAAGTAAAACAAATCTGTGCTCCTCTCATGCTGGTGTTGTCTTTCTTCCATACAATCAAATCAAATTTCTTCGACTTCAAGTTATTGTCTCTTTCACTCTCCTTGTAGCTTGTCTCTTTTAAGATTCAAGTCTGATTGCTTTAATTTGGTTTAATAATTTGATTGTCCCACTAAGTTTACTCTGAAATTAATGCTTTCTTTGGCGTATGTAGGTTGGAGCAATCATCTCAGGCGTTCAGCCAGGTTTATCCATGGTTTGGGACCCCCTGGTACGGGAAAGACTGATAATGCAAGTCATTGGTTTTGGATGGTATGATTACTAAAGAAGGGATTCATCATGAAGATATGATCCCGGTTCTGTTTAATCGATTGAGTTCAAGTAAAACAGACCATAGATTGATTATACTCCGAATACTACAAGCACTGGCCGTATAAGATGATGAACATACGGTACATTTAGTATTTTATTGAGTCTCAAATAATGAGAATCAAGAAGCTGAAAGTTTTGAGTGGTTAATTTTCACTTTGGTGTGCAGGAAAAGATGGCACAAATGGGGAATTTATTGATACTGGTGAAGTCGTTGGGTCATGATTTGGAAGAGCAAAAAGAAGCAGTGGGGCTGTTACTGAGTCTATCAGATGTTGCTGCAGTTAGGAGAAGAGTCGGGAGAATTCAAGGCTGCATCGTCATGTTGGTTGCAATTTTTAATGGGGATGATCAAATGCCGTCACATGACGCTGCCAACTTGTTAAATTCTTTATCAGGCAATACCCAATATGCTCTTCATATGGCTGAGGCTGGCTATTTCAAGCCTCTTGTACACTACTTGAACCAAGGTATATTTAGGACATTTCCATAAATTATATGCAGTTCAATAAGCTATTTGATTAATTGTTTACGTAAAATATATATTCTATGTAAATGATTGCAGGATCAGACATGAGTAAGATTCTAATGGCAACAGCACTTTCAAGAATGGAACTCACAGATCAAAATAGAGCTAACCTGGGACAAGATGGAGCCGTTGAACCGCTAGTCAAAATGTTCACCTCCGGGAACCTAGAAGCTAAGCAATCGTCTCTAAACGCGTTGCACAACTTGTCTGCCTCAAAAGCAAACGTTCAACGTCTGATAAAATCGGGCATCGTTGCTACTCTGCTACAGCTTCTTTTCTCCGTTACATCGGTGCTCATGACTCTAAGAGAGCCACTATCCGCAATTCTTGCAAAAATAGCAGCTCAATTGGAAGTTGGCACAGTACTAGTGAAACAAGATGTTGCTCAGCAGATGATTTCGCTCCTTCATCTGACTAGTCCAGTAATCCAGTGTCACTTGTTAGAAGCACTTAATGCCATCGCTGCTTGTCCGAATGCTTCAAAGGTCAGAAGAAAAATGAAGGAAACTGGCGCTGTTCGCCTTCTCTTACCATTCCTAACAGAAAGCCGCAATACCAAGATTAGAAATGGAGCTTTAAATTTGATTTACGTATTGTCTAATGATATGCAAGGCGGGGAGCTAATGGAGCAGCTAGAACAAATGCATCTGAATACATTGATCAACATCGTATCATCATCATCCACGACGGATGATGAAAAGGCTGCTGCTGTTGGCATACTAAGCAACTTTCCGGTGAGTGACAAGAATGTCACAGACATGTTAATGAAAGCAAACCTACTGCCCATTTTGGTTTCCATATTGACATCAAGTACACCTACAACACCACATTTACTAGCTGAGAACGTCTCCGCAGTACTAATCCGATTCACCCTTCCATCAGACAAGAAACTACAACACTTCTCTGTCGAAAATGGGGTGATCAGCATTTTGGTAAAGCTCCTCACATGTGGCTCAATCATAGCCAAATGTAGAGCTGCAACATCACTAGCTCAACTATCTCAAAACTCACTCACTCTACGAAAATCAAGAAAGTCAAGATGGTTTTCATGTGCCCCTCCCCATTCTACAGACACATTTTGTCAAGTACATGACGGGCATTGCTCTATAAAAACCACATTCTGTTTGGTAAAAGCAGGGGCAATGCCTCCGCTAGTCCAAATATTGCAAGGCAACGAAAGAGCAGCTTCGTCCGCTGCTCTTTCGTTGCCTTGCAACATTACAACAAGACGAGATTTGGGAAAATGGGAGCAACTTGTTAGTGAAAATAGTCATGTGTACAACCAATTATCAAGATTCTTGAAGAAGGGATTAGCTTAAAAGCTCAAGAGAAATCCCTTCGGATTTTGGAAAAGATATTTAGAGTGGAAGCTTATAGAGTAGAGTATAGTGAATATGCACAAGTTGTGCTAATTGATTTAGCACAAAATGGGGATTCATTGTTGAAACCTACAGTGGCTAAATTATTAGCACAACTTGAGCTCTTGCAGCAACAATCTAGTTACTTTTGAGACAAAGCAAAAACAAAAAAACTTTTTTTTTTTCCAATTATTTGTTGATTGATTGAAATGTTGAAATTTGTATAGTAAGTGCTCATACAGATAAACTTTTTTATGGTGCAAATGTTCTCTCATTGTACAAATTACAGGAAAAAAAAGGTTATTAGAGATGAATGAAACTTGTTGTCTTCAGAAAGTACATTATTTTAGCATTTTGGTTTCTGATCCGTGTCCTATACCTACATTGAAGTCTGATTAATTCATATCACATAAGGCTTATTCAAGAGAAGATCAATATTTTTTTTGTATTCAAGACTCGAAATCGAGATCTCTGCTTAAAAAAAAGAAATAATCTTATCAGTTACACAATGGTTAAGCTCAATGAATGAGTGAGCATGAAATAATGTTAGTGACTGATTAATTAAATTTAGAGACAGATAGAAGTTCATAACAATGGGAAGTTGAGATAAAAAAGAGGAAGCAACATGTATTTATTGCTTTCAATTATGTAGCTGATGTACTGATAAAATTTGGCAAAAACTTAGCTTCTTTTGACGAATGCCAATCTTGAATACCATTATAATATATATGCCTTATCTCTAGAATATGTATTTATTGCTTTCAATAGTAAAAACTAAACTTTGAAACAACTAGCTAGGGTTGTGTATCGGTAGGTTCGGTTTTATATCGATTTGTAGAGATGCTAAACCGTTATAGAATCATTAAGATATTGACTTATCGATCGTTATCGGTTTAACCATTAAGATTTGACACAAAAAAACATTGAAAATCACTTTAAAACAAGGTGACAAACCAAATGAACCATGCACATGACTCATGAGTTCACAAGTTACATCTTTCTCAAAAGCAAACACTTTTATATTATAGAATAACCAAGAGTTTGAGACAACCAGAAATAAAAGTAGAAAACCAAACTCTAAGTCAAGGACTTTATATACAAAAAGGTATAAATATAATTATTTAATTTACTATTGAGTTATCGGTTAACCCATTTTTTTCCTAAAACTGTTAAGAACCGATAACCCAATAACAAAAAAAATCAAAACCATTATCAAAACCGCTAAACGAATAATCCATTACGGATAAATCAATAAAAAAAAATTATTCAAATTATCAGTTTCGATTCGATTTTGAACCGCCCTAGAAATAACTCCGGCAAGAATAGTCCCTTCTTGTAATAGAGTAGTATTTTTAATTCCAGTAATATAAATAAATAAAACATCTCTTTCGGTGAAAAAAAGAAGAAAAAAAGAAAGTTTACGAGTTATTTATAATTAGTACTAGTATATAGGAGATAATGAGTAATATGGTTACTCAACTATGAACTTTTTGTAAAGTTACTCAACTTTAATTTTTAAGTCGAAAGTCATTTAATTATAAACTCTTTTCATATAAAGTCACTTAATTTTGATTTTTAATACAAAATTACACAATTACAAACTCTTTTCACATAAAGTCACTCAACTATAAATATTCTACTGGTCATTCAACCATTTTGATTAATTTTTCCAATAAAATTATTGACATGAAAGTTATTTAAAACTAAATTTTTAAAAAAATATATCATTTAAATCATAATGGACTGATTTAACCATCATGACATGCTCTTTCAGAATCTTCTCCTATATCAAAAATTTCCAAAATATGAAATTACTGTATCATAATTGCAAACCATATTAATTGTGAACCGAGTAATTAAGGGAAGTTATGAATTCAATGACAAGTTCACGATACATAATAAACTTCAAAAGTTAACTCCACCTCCAAACGAACGTAGGTATTTAACAATTACTCTCTTGGATTTTACTCTCTCTATGGCTAATTACTTATCCTTTTTTTTTTTAATTGTCTCTAATTACTTGTCCATTTTGACAAATTAAGAAAAGACAAAATTATTATTACCTATTACACCCTCAATTAATTACTTTTAAAAAAAGTAGAACTTTTTAAAAATCTTAAGTTTTTAATTCATCACTTCATAATTAATAGTGATAAAATGGTAACTCACTATGTTAATAATATTTTTTTAACAGATGTGTCAATTCAAAAGTGGACAAATAATTATGGATAGAGAGGAGTAGGGGGTGTTCACGGTTTGGATAAAAACCGATCCAAACCGAAAAATCGAACCAAACCGATAAAATAAAACCGATTTTTATTTAGGTTTGGTTTGGTTTGGTTTTGGTTTTTAGATTTTTGAAAACCGATAGTATTTGGTTTGGTTATGATTTTATTAAAAAAACCGAGAAATAACCGAACCAAACTGATGAATTATATACAAATATTTTTATTAAATATACATACTTAATATATTATTTTTATAAACAATTTTAAAGATCTCATAACGTTTTCATTATAATTTCTTTATAATTTACTTATTGAAAGTAAAAATGTCCAAGGTAAAAACATTTATTTTATTGATTTCATGTATAAGAGTGTCAATGACAATTCTCTGTGGGATCCTTCTCAAAAAAAAAAACAATTCTAAGAGTGTCAATGACAATTCTCTGTGGGACTGAAAATGTTAATGTCTCTTCCTTCTAAGCCAATATAGTGAATTTTAAAGCTTTAATCATAATAAATTCAGTGATAGAAAGTTCAATAATTTAAGTCATTCTAACTATTTTTTTGTTTTGAATGGATTGTTGTCACTTTTTTCACATTTTGAAAGAATTTTTTCTTTTATTTTCGTGTATGGTTAATAACCGAATCAAACCAAACCGAAACTGATAACCACCAAATCGATAAATGTATATTATATTTGATTTGATTTGGTTTTGATAATTTTCAACCAATTAAGTTGGTTTGATTTTAGTTTTGATCAATAATCAATCCAAATCGACCTGTAAATACCCGTAGAGGAGTATTTAATTTGGCACTATCTTTAATAAAATAGAAAGAATATATTTTTATTGTTATTTTTACGAGTTGTACTTCACCAAAATAGTCTCCAATTATAGGCAGTTTATGCATGGTGTTTACGTCGATATCTCCACATCCGCCACGTTTTCATGTATATATGCGACTCAGCTACTCGCCCCCCCCTTTCATACAAATTGCTCTTTTATTTACTTCTTTTCTGAAAAAATGAAAAAGGAAGAGAAGAAATTAAAATGAAGTTAGAGAGTGTAGTGGTTTCAGCAGCCATTAATTTTGGCTTAGCTATTTTCATTCTCTCTCTTTTTGCTTTACTCAAAAAACAACCTTTCTATGCTCCCATCTATTATGCTCGCCGCCTCTACTTAGGCCACCGTAACCTTCATGATTCCGACCACCGGGTTTTTAGTTTCCGGCGATTGCTTCCGGAGATCGACTGGATTTTTCGTGCCGTTCGGGTTACTGAGGAGGAGATTCTACAGAATTGTGGCCTTGATGTCCTCGTCTTCGTTAGGCTCTTCAAATTTGGGTGAGTCGCGTTGTCTAATTATATGAATTTCTCTGTTTCTAGTTCCAAATTGCTATATATGAATTGTCTTAATTACAGCTTCTTCTTTTATTTTTTAGAAACTCATTATTGAAAAATAGAGAAACACTAGTGATTAGAGGTTTATTGATAATGAAAGATCATGCAGATATAAGCAGCCCTTCTTTTATAGTCTTCAACTCAATTTATGTGTCGTAGTTTAATTGAGCTAGCTAGACTAATAAAGTAGGATAACAACAACGTAACAACCGCTAAACTTCGCTCCATTTAGACCTTTCCAACGCTGGTTTTCATTAAGAAGTAATCTAGCAATATACTATAGGGGTGGGAGTGGGAACTCGGTGGTGGGGGATGGTCAAGGGGTAGGGGTTGGGGGCGTTGGGTCGGTGGAAAGGATACAATAAACATAAAATATCACTTATAGAACTTATTTTCCCTACTTCCATTAAGGAATTCCTAGAAAAAAAAGTTTTCCAAAATTTTTGTCCAAAATAAGAAAACATTTTCCAGAAAATAAGAAAACAGTTTTCAGAAAATATTCTCATCCATACCATACACACCCTAAGCCATAATCTCAACTAATTGGCATCGCCGACATGGTTTCTTTTCTGATTGTGCTTTATTTTTTGTGGAGTCTGTATGAACTCCGAGAGTTTAGACAACTTTATTTTTGTATACCTCGTACTCCTTTTAACATCTTTGAACTATCATGGTTTCACATCTATGGACCTTTTTCTAGACAATTTTATTTTTGTATACCACCTTAAACCATCTCGGTTTCACACTTATGGACTGTTGCATCTAGCGGTCTAAGTAGGACAAGATCAAACCATTTTCAAGTAATCTCTCATTTTATTCTCCATGAGCTACTTGAGTCTGTTGAGTTTGATCACTAATAATATTCATCTCTGAAGGATTATTACTCTCTTAGTTTAACAACTTCAAATAAGGATTTTCCTTCACCAATCCTATGTTGTGTCATGCATGGGGAATAGTTCTAGGTATAAGGTTCTTTATAAAGTAAAGTTCCATAAGTTGAGCTATCCTCTGAATGTCATGGTATTTGTGGTTAGAGAATGACTTAAAGTAGAGGATTACGGATCTTGAAAGGTGAATGAGGTTAATTGATTATATGACATGTTAACATCTATGACTAAACACACATTCTCACATAAAGTTATTCCTAGTTTAATAATCTTTGGTGACATGCAAGGATTAAACTCACATTGCTGCTTGGAACCATTCTTCAGGATCAGATTCTTTCTTGTTTGTTCTATTGTTGGGCTTCTGGTACTTCTCCCGCTAAATTATACTGGGAGTAATGGACCAAATACGAGCTCTCATTCCATGGATGCTTTCACAATATCTAATATCAG